TGGCTCAGGGGGCAGGGAAGGGAACATGGGGCCTCTCCCATCTATGGCTTTGATGCAGCTCCCGAGTTGGGAGGCGGGCCGGTTGGTGGGGTGAGCGGGGGCCATGTGGAGCAGCCTGTCAGGGAAAGGCTTGTTTCTCAGCAGAGGCTGGGCGTGGAGATGGGGCGGCGGCGCTGCCAGTGGAAATTCCACCTCAGGGCTGCGTTTCCGCGGCAGGGAGCTCCCTGACTGCAGCTGTTGGAGAAAGACCCACAAAGCTGCTGTGTCTGCTTCCCACATGCTGGCAAATGCATGACGTGCACGGCTGCCCGTGCCCCACCCCAGACTTGGCTGCATTTCAGCCCCAGCCAAGGGGTTCCCAAATACCCAGCCCCCGGCCGCGCCCCAGCGCCGGGTGAGGACATAGCTATGTTTAGCCGGGGGCTGTTCTCCAGCGCCGGTAGGAGTTGTCTAGCGCTAGCTCCCGGGGGTGCTGCCAGAAGGGGCTGGACTGGGCTGGGTCTGGAACGAGGCGATTCCTACAAACAGCCCTGGCTGGACTAGGGAAGGAGTCACAGGAGATGCTGCTGTCTGGCTAGGGTTAACCCCTTCCTAGCCCTATCCTTGCTGCAGTCACAGGAAGAGCATCCACCAAAGAACCCAGGAGTCCTGGCCCATCTTCCCTCTATTTTTCCCCACTCACGTGCGGAATAAATTTTATCAGGTGCATCGAGGCATGTGTGGATGTGCACCACCAGCAGAAACGCGTCCTGCTGATAAGCTGGGCGGCATTTGAATTTCTTCTGGTTGGCCGCCTAAGTGTTCAGCTTACAGGGAACACTGGTCCATGGACAAAGGCGTTCCCTGTCGACCGATCTGCGTCTTGACTGCCGCACTGTGCCGACGATCAGCTGAGCCGGCACAGCACGGCGGCCATTTTTATTTTAATGAAGCCAGGGATATTTAAATGCTGACTTCATTGACTATGTCGGGTGGCCTAATTTACATGCCTCTGGCGACAGAGGCATGTAGTCTAGACATCCCTTGGCTCCCAGCCCTCTAGACATGTACCCATACAGCAGTGGTCCCCAATGCGGTGCCCGTGGGCGCCATGGCGCCCGCCGGGGCATTTCTGTGCGCCCGCCTAGTTACCAGGGCCAGCCTGAGCCATTCTTGCGCCCTGGGCGCCTGACGCATGCGCAGCCCCCACCCTGGGCGCATGGCACATGCGCGGTGCTGCTCCCGGGCGCCCGGCAGCCCCAAAAGGTTGGGGACCACTGCCATACAGCATATGATCTGATGCCACAGTGGCCTCTGGGCACAGGTTTAAATGGTTCATGTAAAGCATTGAGGCCCCGGGGCCTGGCAGCTAGCCTGAGTTTTGGGGTGCTGGGACCAGTGGGCTCAAGGTGGGGGTGATACCAGGTACTGGGGCCACAACCCTCAAGCTGCCTTAGCTATTATCTGGGAGAAGTTATGGAAGATGGGAGAGATCCCAGAAGACTGGAAAAGGACAAATATCGTGCCCATCTATAAAAAGGAAATTAAGGGATGTCCCAGGAAACTACAGACCAGTCAGATTCACTTCTGTGCCAGGGAAGATAATGGCGCAAATAACTGGGAAATCCACTTACAAAGAGCTAGAAGATAATAAGGTGGTAAGTAACTGCGTGAATTTGTAAAGAATAGATCGCATGAAACCAGCCGAGAGCTTTCTTTGATAGGGGATAACAAGTCTTGTAGATAAGGGGGAAGCGGTAGTCTGGTATACCTAGACTTTAGTAATGCATGTGTTACAATCATGCATGATCTTATCAACATATGAGGGAAATACAACCTAAATGGGGCTACTCTAAGGTGGGTGCAGAACTGGCTGGATAATTGTTCTCAGAGTGTAATTATTAACAGTTCCCAGTCATGCTGGAAAGGCATAACAAGTGGGGCTCCGCAGGGGTCTGTTTTGGGACCAGTTCTGTTCAATATTCTTCATCAATGATTTAGATATTGGCATAGAGAGGACGCTTATTAAGTCTGTGGATGATGGGAGGGGTTGCAAGTGCTTTGGAGGAGGGGTCCTAATTCAGCACGATCTGGAGAAATGGTCCGAGGCAAATAGGCTGAAATTCAACAAGGACAAATGCAAAGAACTGCGCTAAGGAAGGAACAATCCGTTGCACACGTGCAGACAGGGAAATAGCTGCCTACGGAACAGCACTACGGAAAGGGATTTAAGGGTCACAGCAGACCACAAGCTAAATATGAGTCAACAGTGTCACACTGGTGCCAGAAAGTCAAACCTTGCAGATACAGCTGGAGTGTTGTAAGCAAGACATGAGCAGTAATTCTTCCGCTCTGCCCTGTACTGATTAGGCCCGGGGCGGGGTTAGTGTCAGGGCTGTAGCTACCCATATGCAAACCACACGGCCGCATATAGGGCCCCACAAAATTTGGGGCCCCAAATTTCATCTGTCCTGAGCCCCATCCCCTGGCTGCTCCCTCCGGGCTCAGCCCCCAGCAGCCCTTGTGGGGTCAGAGGACTTGGAGCATGAAGCTTTCCCCTTAAAAGCACCACTTTTCTCCAGCCGGCTGCGCGACAGCCTGTTGCTCCTTCAGCCCGGCTCCTGCTGGTCCTCTGTGTGCTCTGGCTTGGCCGCTTGTGCGGTTGAATGCAGAGGCAGCCCTGCTTGGCCATGGGTGTAGGAGGCAGGGGGTTCTCCACTGATACAGGAACCTTATTTCCTGGCCAAGAACCCCTCCAAGCCAAGGCAAGAACCCAGGAGTCCCGGTTCCCGGCTCCCCCCCTCTCCCATCCCAGAGCCAGGGAGAGAACCCAGGAGTCCTGGCGCCCAAGCCCCTGCTCTAACCACTAGCCCCCACTGCTCTCCCAGGGACAAAGGGAGAACCCAGGAGTCTTGGTGCCCAGTCCCCCTCCCTCTGCGCACACAGTTTATAGCCAGGATGAATCAGTCTGTTCTCAGGAAGGGAGGTTTATTGGTCCTGGGGGAGGGGACATATGAGCTAAGCGCGTGAGTCAGGGCCCAGCTATTCTCGGCAGGGCCCTTCACCTGGCCAAGGCCTGCTGCACCTGGGGAGCCCCACAGACCCAGGAGTCTTGGTGCCCAGTCCCCCTCCCTCTGCGCACACAGTTTATAGCCAGGATGAATCAGTCTGTTCTCAGGAAGGGAGGTTTATTGGTCCTGGGGGAGGGGACATATGAGCTAAGCGCGTGAGTCAGGGCCCAGCTATTCTCGGCAGGGCCCTTCACCTGGCCAAGGCCTGCTGCACCTGGGGAGCCCCACAG